AAGCTGATTGGCTCGCTTCGGAGACGGATCGGCTTCTGATTGATGGAGGTAAGTCAGAGTTTCTTCAATTGAACTTCCGCTAGAGCTTAATTTTAAGAGTAAAAATACTCATTCCATTGGCAAACTATCTCATTTACCTGCTCAAATTAAGGGTAAATACACTTAATTTAAGAAATGTTTACTTATATCTTAATCATTTCCCCAGTGCAATACATAATAAATACAATCCATTTTAGGATCGCAACCCCACACTGCAAAAAAAATGATATCTAAGTAAGTCAATTTTTCTTAAAATAAGCGAATTTTTTCTTGAATTAAGCAGGTAAGTGGGACTCTTTCCCAGGGAATACGGCAATTAGAAAAAACCAACTGCATAATATCTAATTATCTAATTTTACACTTATTTTAAGAGTAAAAATGCTCATTCCATTGGCAGATTATCTTATTTACCTGCTCGAATTAAGGCAAAATACACTTAATTTAAGACATTTTTACTCTTTTTTAGATCATTTTTGCAGTGCAAAGAGGGAGAGGTATACAAGGGGAAGGAAAGGAGCAGGTTTAAGGTGAGGAAAAGCCAGGTAAGTTCTGGTACAGCTCGTCCAAGAAGATAAAAACACAAAAGTGTTGAAAATGTATCTTACCTGTCCAGACTGCTCCCTGGCTGCTCAGCACCCCTACACTGCAAAAAAATTAATCTTAATAAGTCATTTCTTCTTAAAATAAGTGCATTTATTCTTGGATTGAGGAGGTAAGTGAGAAACTTTGCCAATGGAACAAGATAATTTACCTTTAGAATAAGAAAAAAAATTTCATTGTCTTATTTCAAGTGCATTTTATCTAATTATCTTATTTTAAGAGTAAAAATACTAATTCCATTGGCAAATCCTCTTACTTACCTACTAAAATTAAGGGTAAATACACTTAATTTAAAGCACTGATACAGAAAACAAAACGTGTTCATAAATTACAGCAAACATTAAAGAAGCAATTTCTACATAAACTTGAACATATACATCATTGGGATTCACATTACTGGTCTTTGAATTTTGAAGTATTCTGGGGTCCGTTCCCATCTTTTTTTTAAAGCGTAGAATTTCCCATTCAGAAAGTATCTTAATTGTTCTTCTACAATAACTTTAGAAAGTTAGTCTTTCCATAGCTGGATCAGATTTTTCTTTTCAGTTATGTAGGAGTGACTGTTTTCTATTTCCTGAAATAGAAAACAATAGAAAACTGAGAAAAAGGATACAGGCGGCTCTTCTTTTAAGATTTATTCAGTCGGGATAAATTAAAAGATAAGAAAATAATAATCTAATATCTAGTCTAATATCCCCACTAATAACACCGTTCAACCCATGTGAGTAATTATTACTACTGATTCCACCCAAACATAATCATTTGGGTGGAATCGATCCGCCCAAAACGGAGGATTTCACAACTTCAAACTTGCAACCCTGTTCCAGGCTGCTGCTCCTCTTCACACAATAGGAAGTTCGTTTCATGAATCATCGGTGCTGAGTGACAAGAGTGGCTTAAAGGTCCCACAGTGGAGCATTATAATCCACAGACAGGGAAAGTGGCCCTCATGCTGCTGATCATAATCACTGTTGTCTAAATATCCCTGTGCTTTAAAACACCTTTGATCTGGAGCTAAAGTTCAGGAAACAGTCGAGCAAAAGCAGACATGGTGGGAAATGTTATAAGATTTATCAATTAAACTACAAGCAGTCTATTTAGTGATGATCTTAAAGGAAAGTAGAGATTTTTAACAGATTCTAAATCGTAGAGATTGGGTGTTTTTTTTCTCCAGCTGGGATCAAAGCTGCTTCCTTTGGTGAGAAAGTGAACCTGTTGGCAGAACAAACATGTGCTGGGTGTGGCTGCTGTAACTGTGTCAGCAAAACGAGTCTGTTTAGTTTTTTCTTTTTATGCAGATGAGGTGCTGAAGGGAGGAAACCATGCAATGCCAGCAGATGATCGTTTAACTGCACCCCCTTGTGGTGAAATGCAGCAAGTGCAGCACTATTGGGTTCTTTTTTTAAATGGAATTTATGCAAGACTATTATAGGTCAATCCGTGTATCATTCGTTCTTTCTATTTTCAATTGTCAATCAAAAAACAAAAAATCAAAAATTGACTGGTTATTTTGTTTTTTGTTTTTTATCGTTAAACCAAAAACGAAAAAAGGATTGGTTTTTCATATTTCAATTCTAAGCTCAGATCAAGAATACGAAATGGAAAAACGGACAGCAACGCAGAATTTGATTTTAATATTTAATCGGTACAGTTTACATGACCCGGAAGTTTGGTGGAGCGTTAGCTAAAAAAACAATTGGCTTACTCCCACCACGTTCGATCAAACTGCACCAGATAAGGCAGTCGGACCTATCAGCCATGGACAGTTACGTTTTATTTCGAGGATCCAAGCGTGTGACTCTTGAGGAGGACATGACAACGGAGAAAATTTGCAGGATTTTCCAGGTATAACTTTTTTCTTGAAACTTTTCTGTGCACTGTACTTTTAACTAGCAACAACAAACAGCTTCTCGATCAACATAGTGTGTGGTTCTAGCGTCGCCATGGTAGCCACTTCATTACCTCAACTGCTGCGCAAAGAGCTATTTCCGGGTCACGTAAACTGTACCGATTAAATATTAAAAACAAATTCTGCGTTGCTGTCCGTTTTTCCATTTCGTATTCTTGATCTGAGCTTAGAATTGATATATGAAAAACAAATCCTTTTTTCGTTTTTGGTTTAACCATAAAAAACAAATAACAAAATAACCAGTCAATTTTTTATTTTTTGTTTTTTGATTGGCAATTGAAAATAGAAAGAACGAATGATACACGGATTTAGGTCAAATGTTTCATTTTCTTACATCAATTTCAAGACTTCATCTCTAATTGTTTTGGCTGCGGGAAAGTTGTGATCTCTTATGAGCATCAGGTTTGATTAAAATAAATCTCCAGCCAGTGAAAGTGCGCACATTGATATGAAACTGACACTGCAAAAAAAAAATGGAAATCTAAATAAGTCATTTTTGCTCAAATCAAGTGCATTTTTTCTTGAATAGAGGAGGTAAGTGAAACACTTGGCCAATGGAACAAGACAATTTACATTTAAAATAAGAAAAACACAATTGCTTTGTCTTATTTCAAGTGCATTTTATCTAATTATCTTATTTTAAGAGTAAAAATCCTCATTCCATTGGCAGATCATCTTATTTACCTGCTCAAATTAAGGGTAAATACACTTAATTTAAGACATTTTTTACTTATTTGTAGATGTTTTTTGCAGTGCAGGTTTAAATGGGAAATACTGAAATATTTTCATGTTAAAAAAAAAGATTTTCCACCTTCAATGTGTAATTCCTATTTCAGCCCAAAAGCATTCATATCCTTGGCAGATTTAAAAATTTTTTTTATGATTTCCTTTCCTCCCAGCAGATTGGGAAAAATGGTTGAACTGCACTGCAAAAAATCCAAATCTAGATAAGTCATTTTTTCTTAAAATAAGTGCATTTGTTCTTGAATTGAGAAGATAAAATTCTGTCAATGGAACAAGACAATTTACGCTTAAAATAAGAAAACACAATTACATTGTCTTATTTCAAGTGCACATTATCTAATTTTCTTATTCTAAGAGTAAAATTACTCATTCTATTGGCAAACTATCTCATTTACCTATTCAAATTAAGGGTGAATACACTTAATTTAAGAAATTTTAAGTTATTTCTAGATCCTTTTTGCAGTGCGTAAAGTGCCTTGAGATGACATGTGTTGTGAATTTGGCGCTATATAAATAAACTGAATTGAATTGAAAGGCCTTTCCTTTTTTCATGTCCCATTTAAAAAAAAGTTTAAGTCCAAATGTATCAATCTAATCAGCTTTGTGTGTGTTTCCTCTAGAACTTTATTTAACTGAACTTAAATTGGAGTGCTGCAGTTCTGCATGGGGTCTTAATAAGAGAAGAAAACAAAATACACTGGAAAAACGATCTGTGTATTTACCCTTAATTACCATTAAGTTACATTCTGGGATATTTTGCCAATAGAAGTATTTTTACTCTTAAAATAAGATAATTAGATATTATGCACTTGAAATAAGACAATGCAATTTTTTTTTTTTTTTTTTTAGGTGAAAGTTGTCTTGTTCCATTGGCAAAATGTCTCTTTTACCTCCTCAATCCAAGAACAAATGCACTTATTTTAAGGAAAAATGACTAGATTTCGATTTTTTCCAACATAAACTGTTCGTCCATTTCAATCTGCATGTTTTCTAAGCCGTGAAAATGGCTTAGAAATCATGTTGGGCAACTGTATAAAGCAACTCAACGATATTTCTGACATTTTAAATTGATAGGAAGCGAAATGTCTTCAAACTTGTAAACAAAGTCCAGTGGATTATATGTTAAAAAAATAATCCACTGGACTTTGTTTACAAGTTTGAAGACATTTCGCTTCCTATCAAGGAAGGTTTTTCAATTTAAAATGTCAGAAATATCGTTGAGTTGCTTTATACAGTTGCCCAACATGTTTTCTAAGCCATTTTCATGGCGAACAGTTTATGTTGGAAAAAATCAAAATCTAGATAAGTGATTTTTCCTTAAAATTTAGGAGGTAAAGGAGACATTTTGTCAATGGAACAAGACAACTTTCACCTAGAATTAAAAAAATAAAACACAATTTAATTGTCTTGTTTTAAGTGCATATTATCTAATTATCTTATTTTAAGAGTAAAAATACTCGTTCTATTGGCAAAATATCCCAGAATTTAGCTACTAAAATTAAGGGTAAATACACAGATCGTTTTTCCAGTGTATTTTGTTTTCTTCTCTTATTAAGACCCCATGCAGAACTGCAGCACTCCAATTTAAGTTCAGTTAAATAAAGTTAAATTAAATGCCTAAATCGGTTGCATTATTTTTTAATAAATAAAGTTGAACTGCTTCTGAAAAAAGGAATAAATAAAAACAGAAACAAAAGGCAACCCTTTTATCCAGCAGCCAGTTTGATATAATTTATTAGAGTTCTTAGAACATGTAATACTTTCGTCTTTAATAGATTTACACGTTAATAGAGTGAGAGAGACTTTTTCCCCGATAGGTTAGAAGAGGAGACACGAAGCTGTTAACTAGAAACCTTTGCGATGGTCAGAGAAACATGGCAGATTAAATAACACTGTCACACTGCAGCAATATAAACAATCGACCAGTTAAAAAACACGCACACACACACCGTCTCCTTTCCAGCAAACAATAGCTTTATATACAATTTACACAAATAATCGCTGCTGAAGAAGCCTTTTCCAACGAACCGAAGGCGTAAAGGCAAATAATGACAGTTTAGTTCCTGTCTAAAAGAACGTTACAGATGAGTAATAGAAAAAAATCAGAATCTAATCTAAAGTAAATAGGAAATAAGACACTTTGTGCTCTCGCAGACACAGATCTCCCTGGAATCAGCTGGCCTGGTTGATTCCTGGTCATTAAACAGCTAGTAAACTCCCGGGCTGTTCCGGATCCCACAGCAGAGCACCATGGTGAAGATCATCTCAAATATCTGCAGAAAATCATTGCATTTTATTTAACTCAGTTTGTCTCTCAGAATCTGATGTTTATAGGCTCTGAAAACGGCAGAATTTCACAATGACGGCGTCTAACAGCTGTTCGCTTTCAGCCCGTTTCTCACCATGATGACAGCAACCACCAAGGCAGCCAGGCCGATGAGGTAAAGCTTCTCTGAGAACAGAGCATCCAGTTCACTGTGGCAACTCTGACAAAAGACATAAAGGCTGAATTAGGAGGGAGATCAAAGGAAACAAACAGCGTCATTAATTAAATGTAACTGAAGCAGGACTGATAAAAAAAAGAAGGTGTGGTTCCTCCTTTGGGTACAGAGAACTGTTGAACCCCAGTGGGCCTCAGCAGATGGCCGCTCACACTGAGCCTGGTTCTGCTGGAGGTTTCTTCCTGTTAAAAGGGAGTTTTTCCTCTCCACTGTCGCTACAAGCATGCTTAGTGTGAGGGATTGTATTTGAGTCAATGAGTCGATGCAATCAACTGGTTTTCCTTAGATAGAAAACTTTGAATCAATCTGACTGAATGATCTGGTTGAACTGTAAAGTGCCTTGAGATGACATGTGTTGTGAATTTGGCGCTATATAAATAAACTGAATTGAATTGATATAAAATAAAGAATAAACACTAAACTAACTATAACTATTAGCAGGTTTAGCTTCTGTTATTTAAGGCTGAGGTTTGGTTAATGTTGAAGCACCTGCTTCACTTTATACAGCGTTAACCTAATAACCATAATATGCATCGTAAACCTTGAACCCCAGTGGGCCTCAGCAGATGGCCGCTCACACTGAGCCTGGTTCTGCTGGAGGTTTCTTCCAGTTCAAAGGGAGTTTTTAATCATTATCTGCCTTTTATGTTATTTCATCTTTTCTCCTTTTTCCTGTTTTTCCTTTCCTGTTCTACCTACATTGCAGTGTCCATATAATCTGTAATAATCCCTGTATGATTATAATAGAGCTATTTATAAGCATAAATCTAGCGGATCACTATGGCGACAGCCGTACTGCTCCACTGGTGAAAGTAAAATTTGTTAGGCTCTTTTTTGCCATCAAGACAATTATTAATTAATTAATTATTATTGTACCATTGCCAGGCAGGACACTGTTTTCCTCTCCACTGTCACTACAAGCATGCCAGGGGCGGAGCTAGATGGGGGCCTTAGCCACCCCTACCATTTACTTCCCTCTAATACAGATGGTGGCAACAGTAATACCCTCAAGTGGAATATCAAAACATTTTATTTTTTCATATATTAACATTTACTTGACAACAAAAACATTTTTGGTTAATTATGCACATCCAACATTAAAGATGAAGTACAGAATTCATGCGCTTTTCAGAACTAGATTTTGTGTTATATGGGGTAGATATAAAGTGATTTGTCTTTGCAGTGAAATCATAGATAACTATTTTAATAAAAACGTATTAAATAACCAATTTATGTAGATATTAGTACTTGTAAATATAATTTTTTTGCAGAATGATTATTGAAAAAAGTAACGAATCACAAAGGAACAGATGTTCGCCCCAGAACCTGTATAAATTGTATCCACTATACCTTTTATCTAGGAATGTTTGTGTCTATTTTTTAGCAAAGGCTGTAGTTAAGGATATTTTGTCTTTATTTAGAAAATATGGATATGGAACAGTGTAGCGTGACCCTGAGGTTCTGGAGCCTATCCACTTTCGGGCACCCCTCAGTGTACATTGATTATTGCCTGGCCACCCATGTGTAGATTTTCTGGCTACGCCCCTGAAGCATGCTTAGTGTGAGGGATTGCTGAAGAGTCAATGAGTCGATGCAATTAACTTGTTTTCCTTAGATAGAAAACTTTGAATCAATCTGACTGGATGATCTGGTGAACTGTAAAGTGACCTGAGATGACATGATGTGAATTGGAGCTATAGAAATAAACTGAATAGAATGTATTAAAACCAACTAAATGCAATTAAGCTCAGAATGTTTCAGATAATCAAACATCTGGTTATTTTCTTATAATATCGGATCAGTCCCTCATTCTCTGGGCTCTAAAAGTTGCTCAGTTGTTAAATGCAAGTTGCAGCTCAGGTTCCAGTTGCATCAACTGATGTACATCTCTAGTCTTCTGTATTTTAGTGTGATTAACTAATAGCAATACTGAGGAGGTTGCATATATTAACCCGCTATGTTTAAATGGCAGATTTCATCATGTTTCCCACCACAAAGGTTTGAAAGCATAAAACATAAATAAATCCCATCGTTGTTGTTTCAAAGGGTTCGTTTTTGACTCACTATAAACCATCGAGGGCCAGTTTGTGGCTTTCTATTGTCATAAACAGAGAGTCGATTTTTAAAAATGAAAATATGGCTGTTTTTGATGCCAATATTATATTAGCCATTCAAAATTTCCCCACTTTCCTTGATGGGCGCTTGGCTGGATGATCTGGTGAACTCTAAAGTGACCTGAGATGACATGTGTTGTGAATTGGCGCTATAGAAATAAACTGAATTGAATTAAATTTTTATCCCATTCTGCACAGTCAGCGACGTAACATTAAAAATTACACAATAAACCAAGATCTGAGGAGGTGTTACTGAAGCAGGAAAATAATCCAATTAAAATATCAATTGAAAGTGTTGATTTAGAACAAGTACATGAAATAAAATTCTTGGGTGTCATACTAGACAATAAGTTTAGCTGGAAACCTCAGATCAGCCTAGTAAAATCTAAAATAGCCAAAAGTGTTGCTGTTATAAGAAGAATTAGTTTCGTCCTCGACTACAAATCTTTGTTTATTCTGTACAACACACTCACTGTACCACATTTAACATATTGTGTGGAAGTTTGGGGGATTACATACAAAACAAATTTACAACCATTTTACGTTTTACAAAAGAAATCAATCCGAATACTACATAAAGTGGGATACTGGGAACACACAAATCAGTTATTTATCAAATCAAATATACTGAAATTCTGGGACCTGGTAATATTTAGAACTTCACAATTCATGTTTAAGGTCCGAAATCAAAAACTTCCACACAATATACAGAAAATGTTTGGTGACAGAGAGGGGGGGGGGGGGGGGGGGGGGTATGATCTAAGAGGTGAAGGATACTTTAAAAAACAACACTTTAGAACAACCAGGAAGAGTTTTTGTTTATCTTTTTTTTTATTATTATTTATTTTTTTTTTTTAAATATTATTTATTTTTTTATTTTATTTTTTTATTATTTTTTATTTATTTTTTTATTTGTTTTATTTATTTATTTTCTTTATTTTTTTAATTTTTTTTTTATTATTATTATTTTTTTATTTTTATTTTATTTTTGTATTGTTTTTATTTATTTTTTTTATTTATTTTTTTATTATTATTATTTTTTGTTTGTTTTTGTTTTATTTATTTATTTTTTTTTGTTTATCTGTGTGTGGAGTAAATGACTGGAATGGATTGAATGACGAGTTGAAAAAAATTATAAATGCAAACCAATTTTTAAAAACTGATTAAAACCGAGCTCATTTCAAAATACGCTATATAAGATGACTGTTTAATAGTCTATAATGTAATTGATGACATAAATAGTACTTAATATAATTGTACATGGCTAAACATCACTTGGAATAGAAACAAGTGTTTTTTTGGTTTTTTTAATGTTTTGACAGTTAATTGATGATAAATTGACAAGTAGGAAAGGGGCGGGACATTATAAGATGTATCTTCTACCTGCTCCTTTTCGAACAGAAAATATAAAAATTTGCATGTCACATGGGCAAAATAATTTCTTTTATATTTTTATTCTTAAGTTTGTTTCATTCAAATTTTTTTTCCTTCTTGATTGTTTTTACTGTCTGTTCGAAATAAAAAAATAAAAAAAGCCTTTATGAATTCTACAGGCAGGTTTAGCACAATAGTCGATTCAAAACCTGAAATTATTGCTTTTAGTTTCAGTGGCCACCCAAAGATATTTAGTGGCCCCATCTGGCCTAAAATTGCTTTTTAAACACCAATCTTTGTACTAAAATACTCTTTCTGTCATGATTTAGATCTAAAGAGAAGCGCCATCTCCTGGTCAGAGCTGTAATTCAGTGACAGGGTGGAGTCAGATTAAAAAAGATATGTTGGGTTCATGAAGCGGATTATGCTGCTATTCAGCTGCCGTTTGACTGGGAAGGGCCATTTTGAATGGCTGCTACTGTAAGTTAATGGTTATGAGGATATATATAATAATGAAGCAAGCTTATTTTTAGTCCGTTGAAGGAAGAAGAAGCATCTGGAAGCTGTGCTGTTGACTCTGCAGATCTGCTGTTATCATCTTTGAGTGATATGCCTCGATGGGGGTGTGAGCAAAGAGAGGCTCTAAACTCTTCTCCCAAAGAAAAGTGACTCCACAGCTTCATATCAGTCCAAAACCTTTCAGATGATGGAAGCTGATTAGCAAGAGGAAGATTACTTAGAGCTCATTACCCTGATGCTTTCTGAACAACTTTCCCTGAGTTATAACAGTTAATAAATGTGAGTAAATCTTTTTGTCTTTCTAATGCTTGTGTATTGCAGCTAAAAAACGGAAAAGCTGAGACATTTCTACTATATTTTAAAGTGAGATGAGTAAGAAAAGACTGAGATTAGAGGAAGGAAGAACTATAGAGAACAGGAAGGCCACAGGTTAAGGAGGCCACTGAAAGTGCAGTTAAAGAATAAAGTGAAGATAAGGAACAAGATGTTTGTATAAATCTGGAAAAATATGAAAATTTCAGCTTCAAAGAGAGAGAAAGAAGATAATAAATATGGAGGAAATGAGGAAGAAGAGGAAGGCGCAGAATCCGGGAATCCAGCCTATAAAACGGGACATCCTAGTTTGTAATCCTTCTAAGTATAAAGTCCAAAAACAGAGATATTAGATTTGCTTCTCTTTGAGAGAAACTTTGCTGCTCAGCAAAACAGTCATTGCCTTAAGCTCTCCTTAAGCTCCTCCCCTTTGGAACCAACTACCAGTTTTAGTCCTGAGGCAGACACCCTGTCTACTTTTAAGGCTAGGCTTAAAACTTTCCTTTTTGATAAAGCTTCTAGTTAGAGTGGCTCAGGTTATCCTGAGCTATCTCTATAGTTCTGCTGCTATAGGCTTAGACTGCTGGAGGACATAGGGACCCCTTTTTCATCATTCTGCTTTATTCTATCTCTATTCTCCCATTGATTTCTACAGGCAGGTTTAGCACAATAGTAGATTCAAACTCTGAAATTATGGCTTTTAGTTTAAGTGGCCACCCAAAGATATTTAGTGGCCCCATCTGGCCCCCCATGAATCATTTCTGGAGGTGCCACTGATTCTTCACTTTTCCTAATTGAATTTTAGCCTCTCTTCTGCAGCTCCCAGCTGCTCCTTGCTTTTTATCACCCTAGTTTGTTTACATATTTTCTAAACTCATGAGCTTAAAACCAGTAGAGCATGCAACTAAACATGAAAAGTTGTAAACATAACGTAAGCTCTTTTAAGGGGATTAGGAAATACATTTGTTGGTACCTTTGGTATCGGGGAAGAAAGAATTCGTGCAGGACACAAGGTGTTTCTGACTTGCGTGAAGAGAGGAGTGTCATCACCTTTCCCACAGCAGTTGAGCTTAAGGCAAAACCAAGAGTAAACACTTGTAATTAAAATTCAAATTTCTTTATCCTTTTTTTTTTCCCCCACTCATGATAAGCAGACCCAGCCAAATCCCGCCTTAAAACAAACCGTGGTGTGGAAAGCACCCAGCACGCTGACGGCTGCGTCTTTACTCGGGGACCCAGAGACATCCACAGCCTTGATGTACGCGGCGTCATAGAAATTTATCAGCTCTTTAGACATCTGTGAATAAATAGAAAACAAACATCAGGATAATAATTAACAATAGACATATAGACTGTGAATATGTTGATTTTCCTCTACATACTGTGTCTTTATTCATGAAGCCCCAGATGGCTGCAGCCACCTCGCTGGCAAAAAGGATCACCAGAAAGAAGAAAAACTACAGAGCAGATATAAGACTTATTTATTTGATCTTATTTTGTTGTTCTTCATATAAACAAGTAGTCAGAATGAACATAGAGCTGAAATACTCACCGTTCCTAGCAGACACTGAGATTCCTGAATGGCACCGTAACATCCGAGGAAGCCCACAAGCATCATGACAGCACCGACAGCAATCAGTATGTAGACACCTTTATATTGGAAAGATCCAAACATTAGAGGTTCATTATCATTGGTTTCATCACCACTAGGGGGCATCAATGCAAAGAGGGAAAGAAACCATGCAGCACAGTTACATGATCTATATTCAGTTTGGACTTCCTGGATGTCTTTCCTGTTGAATGACACGATGTTATTGGTATCCTTAAGACAAATATCCCGCACTTCCTGAGCGAGCGGGACGGAAGCTGCCACTTTGGCAAGGAAATGCCTCCATGACACCTTGGACCTCTCCACAAACCCCCGTCTGCACTGACCCCTGACCCAGAGCATGGAAACACAACATGTGAACAAACACATAAGCTGTATCACACTATCCTTGTGGGGACATCCCTATCGACTTCCATTCATTTCCTACTCACTTCTACGGCCTACTTCTTCCCACAACGTCTCCAAAATCTACCATATTCCTGGGAAATCGTCCCCACAAGGTAACAAAACATTCCCATAAAGACACATATACAGATGTTGTTGTTTTTGGTTTTTTTTCCCTGTCATGTTCAGCATTATGGCAACAGAATTGGAATCTGAGTGCAAATCTCTGCCAAACACTTTAGCTTTGCCAAGGGAAGCCTGTCAGGATGAAAAACCTCCCTTGATCGTCCTATACTGCTTTATTATTTATTTGAGATTTATTTTTATTACAGAAATAAAATTAGTAATGCCAAACATGACAGGTGGACAGGGGAAGAGAAAGAAAAAAAAACATACAATCAACTGCTGTATCTGTAGAAGACAAAAAATGTCTGCAAAATGAGAAAACCTGTAGAAGCATGGGGCAGATTTACCATTAGGCAATACTAGTCAGGTGCCTAGGGCCCCAAGTTCCTGGGGGCCCCATAAAACTCTGTTTCTATGTCTGGTTAATACAACTATTCCTTATTTGTGCACATTAATTATGTTTTTGATAAAAATCCTTTTGCTAAAATGCCATCAGAACGCTGATAATATTAAGTGTGTCTCAGCCCCCCCCTTCAGTGTCCACCATATTGGATCAGTCCATTTGCTGCACATGTTCAGAAAGGTCCAAACAGACAGCAGCAAACCATTTGAAAACAAACCATGCAAAGAGCAGTGTTGCCAACTTAGCGCTTTAGTCGCTATATTTAGCCACTTTTCAGACCCCTCTAGCACTTTGATTTCTAAAAAGCTCCTAGCGCCAAATCTAGAGACTTTTTTCTGCTACCGGAGACTTTGGAGACAACATCTAAAAGCAGCGAACTCTGCTCTCCAGAGCGAGTAGATTGGTAACCCCGCCTCCTGCTCTCCTCTATCTTGTCTGCTGTCATGATTCATGCAGCTATTATTTCATCCAAATGAAAAATGGAGAACAGATAAGCAGATCATGGCTTGTCTACAGTGAAAAGAAGGACTGGGTTATTTACTTTGGCCTTTTTGGAAACACAGGAAGGAGCAATCAGCTAAGTGAGCTTAGTGCTTGGAAAAAATCTTTCATTCCTTTAGAGACAGCATGAAAAGTCAGCTGAGTACAAAACATAGAGAGGAAAACAAGAGGGCCCTCTGTCTGTCTTTACCTAAGGCCTCAAATTTCCTAAATCCGCCCCTGTTTAGAAGCACAGCAAACAAGACTGATCTAGGTCCATACTGCTGTAGTTAGGCGACAGTGTGCCACCAAGAAGCTTCCAGAGGGAAAGTAAACAAGATTTATGAAAAATTTTTTTTATCTGACTGAGTAATAGAAAAATAGTTCAGTCTGAAAAGAAAAGATAGGCTTCATTTAATTATTTATAGTATTCTACACTGCAAAAACAATCCAGAAATAAGTAAAAAATGGCTTAAATTAAGTATATTTAGCCTAAATTTGAGCAGGTAAATAAGATGATTTGCCAATGGAATGAGTATTTTCACTCTTAAAATAAGATAGTTAGATAATATTTACTTGAAATAAGACGATAAAATAGTTTTTTCTTATTTTAAAAGGAAATTGTCTTGTTCCATTGGCAAAGTGTCTTACTTACCTCCTCAAATCAAGGAAAAACACACTTATTTTAAGAAAAAATAACTTATTGAGGTTTATATTTTTTGCAGTGTATAAATAGCCCATTATTTTAACAGACAACACTTTATATGTTCCTCCCTGGAGCTACGCTGCCTCCAACATATATTTCCTATGTAAACATAATAAGCTTTGTGTGAAAATAAACTCCAAACATGAAGACAGTTAAAGGTTTTATAAAACAATTAGGTTGAAAATATAAAACATTCACATAAACTGGATGTTTGGAGATCTGTGTCTTTAAGACATTAGTACGGCGGCCGGGAGGTGCAAACCAACGTTACAAAATCTAAAAAACTTTTGCAAGTTGCAAAACAAAATATCATTTCAGAAAACAAATTTACATGAAAAAAAAAATAAAATAAAAATAAACCAAACACTTTTGAAAAATTCTAAACAAATAGCACTTTAACAAAATAAATAATAAACATTCGAAACACTTACAAGTGATAATTAATGATAATTTGTTTTGGAGCTTGTAAATGTTTTTTTTTTTTATGTAAATTTGTTTTCTGAAATGATCATTTGTTTTGGAACTTGTACATTTTTTTTTTTTAAATGTAATTTTTTTTTCTGAAATGATAATCTGTTTTGGAACTTGTACATTTTTTTTTTTTAAATGTAATTTTTTTTTTCTGAAATGATAATCTGTTTTGGAACTTATACATTTTTTTTTTTAAATGTAAATTTTTTTTTTCTGAAATGATAATCTGTTTTGGAACTTGTAAATTTTGTTTTTTAATGTAAATTTTTTTTTCTGAAATGATAATCTGTTTTGGAACTTACAAATTTTTTTTTTTTTTATGTAATTTTTTTTTTCTGAAATTATCATTTTGTTTTGGAACTTGTCAAAGACCTTGTAATGTTGGTTTGCACCTCCCGGCCTCCGTACATTAGTCCTAAAACCTCTGATATGATACTGATATTGCAGCTCTGGGAATACACTGATACGACCTTAGCATGAATCACACGTGGTTTTATTATTGAATTTGTAATGTATAATGTTAAAAAAGTCTTGATTAAATTATATTACCGAAACAGAAAATCAAAAATCAAAAACAAAACGTATGAGAACGACTGACCCATGTAATGTTAACCAATAGGTTAAAAAAAGCCTTTAGAGTTAGTAAATCAGTGAGCCTCTAGTGAAGCCTGAAGGCGCTTACTGAAATGAACTAATGGTGAGATCGGCCGCCTAAAGCTGCACCTCATTTATCACTCACAGCCGGTTCCCATCCTTACCCCCCCCCCCCTTTTCTTTTGCATTCAGTACCAGGGGAAGGTTACCAGGGCCAGTAAATCTGCAATGCAGCAGAGGAGCCATTATTTCCAATGCCCTTCATTACTATGACAACACCCTTTGAGGTTCGGTATCTATTGAGCCTTTAAAGGAGACATGCACCCTTAGACCGACCCAGAAGTCCATTTATGTCGTGTTCCTCAGTATATTCTCTAGAAGCTTCACTTGTCCGTCTTATTTAAGGAGAAAAAAAAAAAGGTAAAAGTCAATTTTTCACCTTCGGGAAACCCTAAATAAACGTAGAATAAAGAGATAGAGTAATATATGTTTTAATCTAAAATGAACCCCTTCTTTGATCATGGGGGTAAGGCGGTAGATCCAAAGTGAGCACCGAGTCCTTCGCCGTCTAATCCAGGGCAGTGCAGTAACCTAAAAATGATTTCCTCTCCTAGAAGACTTTCCAGCTGTTTAAAGGCGACGCTCTACTTCAGGTCTAGAGAACCAAATGACCTCCAAGCTTTTCCCCTTTTTGTTACATTATATTTACAAACATCAGAGTCTTAATCAGACTATTTATTTTGCCAATTTTTAACAATTGTTTAACAATCAGTTTTTTTCTTTGAGACAGCAATCTGAAAAGTTTCAAATAAATTCTATTCAGTTTATTTCTATATTTCTATATTTCATTTAAGGGCCCTTTCCAGTTCACCAGATCATCCAGTCAGATTGATTCAAAGTTTTCTATCTAAGGAAAACCAGCTTATTGCATCGACTCATTGACTCTTCAGCAATCCCTCACACTAAGCATGCTTGTAGCGACAGTGGAGAGGAAAACTCCCTTTGAACAGGAAGAAACCTCCAGCAGAACCAGGCCCATCTGCTGAGGCTGACTGGGGAACAAATATGACTCTTAACAGTTTTTTTGTGTTTTTAAAACTCTTTTTTAATGTTATTAACTCTCTTGACCAATTTTCTGCCACCATGATGTTCATTGTGACGACTGCAGGCTCTAGAATCACTATTAGTTTTCTGCGACAGGTAGTGTTATAAAGCTCCTGGCTTTTCTTTTCTGTTCCTCAGTCTTTATGAAGCTCTTTATTCAGCAGTGATCTTCAGCATATCTTAGAGACCTTCACAGAAGACCTGTGCTCATAAATCCTTACATTTAGTTATACCCTGGTAGGCCTATCTGATGAATTTAGCTTCTTTTGTGAGGAAATCAAAGTGCTGGATTTACTGGGAGGGATCTATTTAGGAGACATTATGAAGAATCCTCTTCATTAAACGTTCATTAACCAACAGAGCTACTTTAGTCCGTTGCTTTTGAGGTTTCGCTGTAAGCAGAGGCGTCAGCATTTGTTCCCTCACTTCAGTAGAAATCATGTCTATCTATACTTTACTGAAATAATAATTTTTTTAATAACTTTCTACTCCTTACATTTTAAAAATAGACTCGCTGGTTTTGGTTTCATTTAAGCTTATTTCCATGATGGTTTGTTGGTATTTAAAAAATATAAAAACCATCAAAATAATTAGTATAATCCAGACAATTAATTTCTTGTGGTCGGTGCTGCCCCAACTTGTTGTTGGCAAATGTAATTTAATGTATTGTATTTATTTTAGCCCTACTTCCCTTTTCCTTAGTCTTTACTCCACTTGTCAGGCCGCTATTGTAAAAATAACTTGTTCTTAATGACTTGCCTGTAAAAATAAAGGTATAATAATAAAATAATAACAATCGTCGTTAACAAAGTAAACATTATAGTAATTTGTTTGGCTCATTACTTCTCTTTGTTTAGGTTGTTTGTTGTGTTTTTGTTTGGTGTTTTTTTTTTATGTCCTCATCTGGTTTAAATCAGTTTAGCGAAGCTGTTAGCTTCCTGTCTTCATTCATGATGCAGACCTCAGTGTTAGCTTTATTTTCTTCGTTTTTTTCCTCACAGGTAGCCAAACTCACAAGTTTAACTCCAAACTGCTAACAGTCAGACTCTGCTGCTGCGCAAACCGGACCAGACCACTGCCACCAGTAAGGTTTTCAAGAGCTCCAGCGGGGGTGGGAGTGTGTGTATTTCCAGTCTTACATAAATACCACTGTGGTCTGCCAATAAGCTAAAAAAAAAACCCACCCACTTCAAACACTAATTTGAGGGATAATGTGCACATGTATGAGATGACTTAAATTATGGAAGGGCGTATGCTGAAGGGAGGGTTAAAAAAACGGAACAGTCCCTTGATCTTGACTGGGTGGGCCTTCATTGCCACTATGCCTTTAAAAACATGCCTCCTCTCTGCTATAAAAAGCTTGGGCTTGTCTTTGCCCCGTATACTTACCGGGGGGGTGAGTATGGCAGCGCTGTAGGAGCGCAGATGTAAATTAATGGTTTTACTGGAGTTCACCACCGCAGCAAAGCCAAGATCATGGGCCTTTGAAATGTTTACATCTTGTCATTTACTGAAACTCCTCAGAGAGCGAAGGCAATGAAAACTATAGGACTACTGACTTTTTTTAAGCATTTGCAACTAAAGATATAAGATCGGCAGAAAAAGTGAGCAACAGAAACCTGTACATTTTTTTTACTTCTGCTTTTAGACTCCACATCTGTCCCAACATCTGTCTGAGGCATCTGCTGGCTTCAGATCAGCATCCAAGGAGGCTCAAAACGTAAACATCTTTATATAAAGTTTATGATTAGGACATTATTACCCATGGTGAGGTCATGAATAACAGAGTGCTGAGAAGTGGAACTATCCAGGTCCTGTTCCCTATAAGAGGTCGGGTCAACCTGAACACTTCTAAATAAACTAAATATATAAACTAAAGACAAAATAGGTGACTAAGAGGAATCTCTGCTGAAAAGATGCACATTTTTATTCAGATCAGTGAAACAGAAAAGCCTCCTGCAGAATGAGGTCACATTGACAAAAATAAACTTTTTTATGTAATCGCTGCATAAATAATTTTGCAGTGATGACGCTAAGGCTTCCTTTCATTCCAGTAACTCATGCGCCTCGACTTTCCCTGCCTCAATGGGAAACCAGTCCAGGAAGCTCAAATAGCATCAGTGAAGTCTGTGAACTAAGGAACAAAACCTAAATGACCCTCGGATGTCATGTAAGCACATGGGAGGTAGATAGGGGCCAGCGGGGGCCAATGGGGGCCAGCGGGGGCCAATGGGGGCCAGCGGGGGCCAGTGCCCCTGTTATGATCCCTGTAATGAAGACATAATACTTAAAAGAACTTCTAATGATGATCTAGTTGGAACAGACATGATTACTGATTTGGATCTATTTCAATTTTTTCTTTACAAATTGTTTTTTACTAATTATTTAAAAACAATAAGGTGATAGCTGCAATGGTATTGAAATAGGATCCCGGTTTTCATCTGTTAAATGTTTTTTATTTTTTTTTCAAAACAAATTACTCTAATTTTTAAAGCTGAATTTATCAGTTTTTTCTTTTTTTCTAATTCAGATTTTACAGAAAATGGTGATTCTGAATTAATTTAAGTAAAAAAATATGTTAAATTCCTAAATTATGAATGTATATATGTATATATATATTTTTTCAAATCTTTTTATTGAAAAGTCAGAGGTAGAAACAATAGATGGTCTTCATGGTTACAAAAGACTTTCCGTTTTTCAAACTTTATACACATTCAGAAAAAAAACACACCCTCCCCCCACCCAGACTGGACCCAAAAATAATGACAATAATTGTGATTGTAATTAATAAAAAAACAAACCAAAAAACGCTGAACCGACTTCAGCTTTTGTTTGTTAAGACCAGAGATGGCAAAAGTACTCACTTTCCGTACTTGAGTAAAAGTACAGATACTTGTGTTAAAAAATACTCTGGTAAAAGTGGAAGTACTGATTAAACTTCTTTACTCAAGTAAAAGTAACAAAGTACAGGCTTGTAAATTTACTTAAAGTATAAAAGTAAAAGTAGAAACCACTTTTTTCATGCCGTTGCCTACATTTTAAATGGATGTCTGTCAATAGGACTAGATCTCCGTTGTGTTCATTTTCAATCATCTCGTCGTCCATGCTACTATGCTAACGCCACCGCCACCAAGCTGCAATGATTTGCCGCCAATGAATACCGCCGAATCTGTCCATTCATCTTGTAGCGGTGCGTCAAATGCAACGTAGATTCCCATCCAATTAGATTGAATTTGGTATTGATGACGTGAAAAATAATAACAGTAACTCCATTGAAATGATTCAAAACTAAAGTAACGAGCCAATTTTTTTAAATGTAAGGAGTAGAAAGTACAGATATTTGTGTAAAAATGTAAGGAGTAGAAGTAAAAAGTCGCCATAAAAATAAGTAGTAAAGTAAAGTAAAAATATCAGAAAAATCTACTTGAGTACAGTAACGAAGTATTTGTACTTCGTTACTTCCCATACCTGGTTAAGAGTGGGCAGGCATCAGAATAAACTAATTAAAACAGTGAGTGAATAGCTTGATCTGCATTCCAAGGTCCTCTTGGCCAACAAAGTAAATTATGAATGTATATTGAAGTAATAAAACAAATTATTTAAATTAAACCTAATTGAATTGAAATTTCACTTCATGCATCTCTTAATGTATTTAAATCCCTTGCCTTAACCCCCTCCTTGCCCCCTCCTGATACATTTAGTCTAGAACTGTAAGCAGTTAAATAAATAAATATTTTGTGTTTGCTAAAAATAATTAAATTGAGATCAACCAAAAATCACCAAACAACACCTAAAAAATTATTCATGTGATTTAATATTTAAAATATTAGATTTTTCAGTCTAACAATAGTTAACAACCATCTAAGCCTTATATATTGGAGGAGGCACGGCTCAGCGAGCAGAATAAAACCATATAGAGGTTTTAAAAAAGTACGACTGAAAATTACAACCTTTTAATTTTTTTTACCAAATACGGCTGCTACTTAAAATCCTTTTCATACACTGCAAAAACGATCTGAAAATTAGTAAAAATGTCTTAAATCAAGTGTGTCTACTCTTAATTTAAGTAGGTAAATAAAATGATTTGCCAATGGAATCAGTATTTTTACTCTTAAAATAAGATAATTAGATAATATGCGCTTGAAATAAGACAATATAATTATTTTTTCTTATTTTAAAAGTAAATTGTCTTCTCCCGTTGGCAAAGTTTCTCACTTACCCCCGTAATTTAAGAAAAAATTTACTTATTATAAGAAAAATCAGAGTTGTTGAGATTTTAATTTTTTGCAGTGTAAGACGCCGGTGTAGAGAAACACAGGGCCGTCTCTCCTTGACACACTGCTGCACACTGCTAAACAGCTGGTTGCAAAACACGCTGTTAACGCCGTTAATTAGATTTCTGTACAGATTTCACAGAAATAGCGTGCTACTTTAAGGCCATCTAAGGCCTTAAAGTAGCACGCTATTTTAAAACAAGTAACACATTTTTTCCTGTGAGCAGCATCCCTGAAATATGACGTTCTGAACAATAAGCTTTACTAAACTTCTAGCCAATAGGTCATGTTATGCATTACCTATTTTATAGTTTTGTGTACGTAGAAAGAAGGAATTTACAAACTTACAAAATAATTAAATTTCCAGTTTGTGAGAAGATTTATTGTTACAATTAGGTCTCTAAAGATTCACTTTATGAACTCCATGCAGAAAGAAAGTATAAGTAGCATTTAGTTTTTGTTTTTACTCAACATTATTACAGTGATCAATCTCTTTCTGGCTCAGTCTTATATCCATCCATCCATTTTCTGTCACGCTTATCCCAGCTGGGGTCCACAGTAAATTGTTAAATATGCAGTTCAAAGTACATTGACTCTTTTAGAATTATTACAACAGCTGGAGTAAAATATGCACCACATAAAGTTCTAACTTAACACTGATTCTGAGTGGGACTAAATACTAGGTATGTAACGATATCAAAATCTCACGGTACGTCAGGAACCCATCGTGTACAACGTTCCGTCTTTTGTGATTGGTTGAGGTCATTCATTGATTTCTCGCTGTAGCGGGGACATTTTTATTAGTTTCATTTCCAGACTTTCTATTTCACTGCTTGCTAAACGGCTTTGGGGAGATCTTTAAGCCACATGTTAAAAATGCGTCTCCAACTGCACCTTTAATCTCACACAGGAGAAATTCCCTCTCTTCATACAACCCATCCCCTTGGGGAGCAGTGGGCTGCCACTGTGCAGCACCCAGAGAGAAGTGTGGGGTTTAGGGTCTTCCTCAGGGACCCAGAGTGCAGGCTGTGGGGATAGATACGGTTCACATGCAAATATGAAGCAATCCAAATGTATTCAGAACAATATATTTGAAGAAAGAAGACATGAAATTACTTAAACATGTTGGAGTTACAATTATAAAATTAATGTGTGGGCATATGAAACATTCTGGTTCTGGTTCTATCCTGTGATTCAATCAGGAGGGTCATAAACTTTTATGACCTGCATCCAGTAGGTCATGAGGCAGAGTCACACGGTTGTGTGACTTCCATCCAGCGAGATGGTCATTTCACACTGTCCTATGACCTGCATCCTGCCAGATAATCATTACTGGGTTTTCTGTTTAAGGCCCGCCCCATTATGTTGTAAACTGTTAATAAAAGGCTTTGCTGTGAAGGGATCTGTGAGAAAGGGTGCTGGTTTGGAGCAAGCAGTCTTTCTCCCCTTTGCAGAGGTTTACAAATCCCTGTCTGTGTTTGATCATTTCGTCCTCTTAATCTTTTAAACTCACATTTCTCTGGATTAAAACCCAACAAACATCAGACGACTTTTTATTCATAGGCTCTCGCTGCATTTGTTTTTGAAAGTAGGCAGATAGGATTAGAGAACATGGGAAGACATTGGTCAAAGGCAGGGTTGCCAACCGTCCCTTAAAAAACTGAATTGTTCCGTATTTAGAAATAGAAGCACCTGTCCCTATTTAGTGGAAAAGGAACGCACGTTGTCCCGTATTTAGTGGAAAAGGAACGCACGTTGTCCCGTATTTAGTTGAAAAGGAACGCACGTTGTCCCGTATTTAGTGGAAAAGGAACGCACGTTGTCCCGTATTTAGTGGAAAAGGAACGCACGTTGTCCCGTATTTAGTGGAAAAAGAACGCACGTTGTCCCATATTTAGTGGAAAAGGAACGCACGTTGTCCCGTTTTAGTGGAAATGGAACGCACGTTGTCCCGTATTTAGTGGAAAAGGAACGCACGTTGTCCCGTATTTAGTGGAAAAGGAACGCACGTTGTCCCGTATAAAGGAACGCACGTTGTCCCGTGTTTAGTGGAAAAGGAACGCACGTTGTCCCGTATTTAGTGGAAAAGGAACGCACGTTGTCCCGTATTTAGTTGAAAAGGAACGCACGTGGTCCCGTATTTAGTTGAAAAGGAACGCACGTTGTCCCGTATTTAGTGGAAAAGGAACGCACGTTGTCCCGTATTTAGTGGAAAAGGAACGCACGTTGTCCCGTATTTAGTTGAAAAGGAACGCACGTTGTCCCGTATTTAGTGGAAAAGGAACGCACGTTGTCCCGTATTTAGTGGAAAAGGAACGCACGTTGTCCCGTATTTAGTGGAAAAAGAACGCACGTTGTCCCGTATTTAGTGGAAAAGGAACGCACGTTGTCCCGTTTTAGTGGAAAAGGAACGCACGTTGTCCCGTATTTAGTGGAAAAGGAACGCACGTTGTCCCGTATTTAGTGGAAAAGGAACGCACGTTGTCCCGTATAAAGGAACGCACGTTGTCCCGTATTTAGTGGAAAAGGAACGCACGTTGTCCCGTATAAAGGAACGCACGTTGTCCCGTATTTAGTGGAAAAGGAACGCACGTTGTCCCGTATAAAGGAACGCACGTTGTCCCGTATTTAGTGGAAAAGGAACGCACGTTGTCCCGTATTTAGTGGAAAAGGAACGCACGTTGTCCCGTATTTAGTGGAAAAGGAACGCACGTGGTCCCGTATTTAGTGGAAAAGGAACGCACGTTGTCCCGTATTTAGTGGAAAAGGAACGCACGTTGTCCCGTATTACTGTGGGAGTAATGGAAAATGAAGAACAAGGGCACGTTAGATACAAAACTTACGGTAACTTGTTCCCGTCCCTGTCCTGCGTTGTGACCAATGAGCTGACAGCATATATGTAACGAGCCAGAATCCCCTCATCTCATTGGTCGAGCCAATTGTTGCTCACGGAGAAGATGGCGGGAGACAACAGAGCAGAATAGGGGACTAAAGGAGGAATTTAAATGCTGACGCACCGTCGGAAAAATATGTTTACAAGTTTTTACAAGTTTGCTGTTGCATCTAAAATGGACACTATTTATTTTCAGTTTTGTATACATTTTTATAGTTTGAAGTTGAGCAGGACAGGCTTATGTTTAGATTAGATTTAGATTAGATTAGATGAGCTTTATTGATCTCGCAGCGGAGAAATTCACTGGTCACATATTGGCATAGAAGTTACAGAAGGTGCAAACAGGGAGGAAAAAGTTGCATGAAGAATAAGCAATATATAGATAAGATACTTATCTGTATATATAAGATACTTATTTTATTCAGCAAAGTTTGTTATTTTGTATTAAAGTGAATTGCTGGATAATAATCAGTTTTCCATGTGTTCATGTCGCTCACAAAGATGCAACTAATTCAATGCAGATTTCAGTCAAATAGTTAAAAAATCCTTTCACACACAAAGCGGGGCTGAAAAAAAATCCCAACGCCAGGAGGGGTGAAGGCAATCGTGTGGGACGCACATGAGGTGACCCTTTTTTTTTCTTTTTCAGAGAGTTGGTAACCCCAGTCAAAGGTCATCAGGCCAGGACTCCAACCAAGTTTATCCCCTTTGTCTTTAGAGAGCAAATAAATGTGATATAAAGATACTGACTGGTTGAAATTCCAAGCAGTAAAGTTTAACATGTTCCTGCTTAAAAAGGATAAAGACTTAACAAGGAATCTATGAGAAGAATCAGAGATTAGATCTGCTCTGGCCTAAAAAAATCGTTTTCATAATCTTTCTTTTTATTTTTTTTTGCTCTGAGTGCTTTCAATATATTTTCTACGGATGAGGATTAGGGCCACTGAAAAAAAAAAAAAGTTAACAGATTTTCTTTTTTTTTTATTTCAGTATAGTATGGAAAAAAAGTCAGAATTCTGACTTTAATCTCAGAATTCTGACTTTTTTCCCATGTTAAACTGAAATAAAATTTAAAAATCAGTTAACTTTTTTTTTCAGTGGCCCTAATCCTCTTCCGTAATTTTCTTAATGGGATTCAGAGAAAAGAAGATTTTTAGCAAATATTTTCACACAAGAAGCCATACTTATTTCTCTGGAGGTTTAGTTTTACTTACTGATGTAAAAGGTGCTGGGCGCCTGCTGGCCTTCAAACTGAAGTATGAGAAGGTTGCTGGTTTGACTGTCATGGCGTAACCACAGGGCCACTCCTAAGATCACACCTCCGGCCAGCTGTTGCAAAGGAAACAGGCTTTAAATGTTCTTTCCCACATTTTTCCCCCCCCACTTCAGTGACACCCTTAGGGACGGGCGCCATATACGGCTATAATGAACTTTAAATACATAGGATACAGAACAAACTAGGGTTAAAAATGTCCTCAAATTACACTTAAACTTTTTTTCTAATTTCTTTCTTAACTCCAGAGCGAAACTGGGATCTGTAGACTGGGAGAAGGACATCCTGAGACCTCCATGACCCGCGGCACAGAACGTGCCCTCGCAGCATTGTTCAAAGCCAAATCAGCGCAAAACAGCTCTGCCTGCTGTTTCATAAAGGAACAAAAATATTCAAATGTGTTTCCTGTCTTAAAGGCAAATGAAGCATTGGGGTCGTTGACATTTTTATGCCAATATTCAACCTATATCAAGATTTCTCCTCCCTTATTATTTTCTCTCTGTTATTTCACCTGATTGGTCACTATTGTTCACAGAGAAACAGGAAACTGAAGTCCTGATGTGAAAAATAGCCGAACGAGGAAGAGGGGGCTCAAGAGCTTTCACAAAGACGGGCACAGCAGCGCAAGCAGCAGAGGAAGCCGTCGATTAAGTTCGGTGAGTCCAGGATGTGGTGACTCTGCTCATCTAAACAATGCACTGCTGTTTAATGTTCCAAGTGGAAAATTAAATATAGATCCTGGGTGAATGTCAGTATCGGCTGAGGCGGTTTAACTTTTGAGTTTAGCAAAGAAATGACAGATATGGAAAAATGTTGGACGTTTTATTTAAAATCTTGGAGTAATCTTGAATAAATGTTGTCGTATCAAACCGAAGCTAATTTAGTCGTCTTTCTATCGTGATTTTCCTAATCCCTGTGAAGATTTGTAACAAATGTACCACTTAACCTTTAACCCTTTAAAGCCAAATGTATCATATTTGATACATACGGTTTCTGAAATGTTTTGCGTCTGACACCTTTTGCATAATTTAAAAACTTTGCTCAAAATCCTATTGTACACAATCAGATATACCTGATAACAGCCAGTAGAAGACTACACAAAAAATAATCTTGACTTATCGCATAGTAATAAATCATTAATGTTTTTTCTTTTTACATATTTTGTTAAAAGGCCAAATAAGGACTTCAAACCAAAAAAAAAAAGTAATTTTCTGTTTGGTTTTATTCTTGGATCGGGCTTTAAAGGACCTAAAACCTAAAAGCCTGAACCATGAAATAATTCACAGAAAATTCAAATCTTTCAAAATTAGAATTTCATCAAACTCTCTGAAAATTAAATTAGATTATTTATTTGATACGTTAGGCATTTCTGTATAACCTTTTATATGTCAGAAGTCTCAAAAAGTCATGTATTAAATATGCTTTAGATGGTTAACTCATTCAAACACGCTGTCACTTCTGCTCAGCCAGAAGTCGTTCCGTAGGAAGCGTATTTTCAGACCTTCTCTGATCCAGATTAAAAAATTAGAATTCATTCAACTTTATTGTCATTTCATTGTCAAATACAAAGCAACAAAATTCATTCTGCATTTAATCCAATCCACAGCAGTGGGCTGCCATTGTGCGGCTCAGGGAGCCAGAGGTGGAGGCTGTGGGGATCGAACCGGTTACTTGCAACCTTCTCAGAAAAGAAGCGCACTGCTTTAACCACCAGGCCAACATCCCTATTTAGCATCTGTGAGTTAATCCTGCTTTTTCTCATGAGCCACAATCTTTAAAACATGTAGCCCTCTAAAATACAAGCTCTAATCCGTTTACATGCAAATATGAAGCAATTAAAAATGGATTCAACACAATTTTTAAAGAAAGAAGACATGAAATGACTCAGACATCAGAAAAGTAAAAAATGCAAAAATCAAAGACTGACTCACCCAGAAAATAAAATTAAAGAAAAATAACATATATTTGATGCATTTTGTGCAGCCTGCCACAGCCATGGTTGCCACTTCTTTTCAGCTCGTCCTTCACTTCAAACCAAAGTCTACTTCCAGGATTTCTGAGACTTTATTCAGGCCAGCTTAAACAGAAACTCCTCCTTCAGAAGGATGAGTGAAAACCGATGCGGGGGACCTGCCCACCGAGTGGAGCAGACGGGGCAAGGCTGAGAGGAAAACAAAGTGTGGAGGGAGGGAGGGGGGGCCCACGTTTCCCTTCAGCAAGGTTAGGATTTCACACCGAAAAAAAATCTAAATCTACATAAGTTATTCTTTCTTCAAATAAATGCATTAGTTCTTGGATTGAGGAGGTAAAGAGACATTTTGACAATGGAACAACAAAATTGTATTATCTTATTTCAAGTGTATGTCACCTAAATATTTTATTTAAACAGTAAAAATATTAATTCATATTTACCTGCTCAAATTAAAGGATAAATACACTAAATTTAAGGAACTTTTGCTTATTTCTAGATAATTTTTTTCAGTGCACGGGCACCATAGTTAGATTTAAGCAGCTAAAAGAGACACATAAACGGAGCTTTGCAACAATATTCATATTTTTTAAGCTGTTTTAAATGTTTTAGGTGTTAAACCAAAAAACACGCAATAGATCAACATGCAGAGAACTGGAAGGAGAGGAGTAAATGTTTTCATTTTCAAATGAAAATATGAAAAGCGTTAACTTTAGAGCAGGGGCGGAGCTAGATGGGGGGCCAGGGGGGGCCATGGCCACCCATAGCTAATCGTCGGCCGCCCCTGTGGCCACCCCTACTATTTATTTCCCTCTAATACAGATGGTGGAAGCAGTAATACTCTCAATATTCAAAACATTTAAATTTTTCATATATTACCAATTACTTGACAACAAAAACACTGTGGTTAATTCTGCACATCAATATTCTAACATTAAAGATAATAAGTACAGAATTCAAGCAGAAATAGATTTTGTGTTTTATGAGGAAAAGAGAAAATGATGTATCTCTGTTTGTCATTTAGGATTCTTCAGTGAAATCAAGGATAAATAACTATTTTAATAAAAACTTATTAAATAATCAATTAATGTAGATATTAGTACTTGTAAATATAGATTTTATGCAGAATGATTATTGATAAAAGTAGGTAAGTAATGACAATGGAAAAGATTTTCGACCATAAACTCAAACCTGAAAGAATTTTATCCGCTAGACCTTTAATCTAGAAAGCACGGATGTTGAATATATTTGTCTATTTGTTAGCAAAGGCTGTGCGAAAATATAGTTTGTCTTTATTTAGAAAATATTGATGTCTTGCTCATTAATTTTCCTGTTGGAACAGTAGAGATTGACCCTGAGGATTTGGTGCCTATCTACTTTCGGCCCCCCCCTCAGTGTACATTGGTCATTGCCTGTTCACCCTTATAAAAATGTCCTGGCTACGCCTCTGAGCAGGGGTAACCAATTAAAAATCAGTTTAGGTCGAATAAAGAAAATCATCAACCAGTAAAGGTGCGGGGACATTTTTAATTATAATCTGTTACTTTAAACAGAATTTAACGCTGAAATAAAATGAGGTGTTTCTGCTTCCATGTTATACATTGAGTTATACCGTATTAACAGGAGAAGAGGCGCAAGTGAAGTTAAACACTGTCGTTGGACAACATGCGGTAATTTTTAAATGTTTTAAATCAGGTTGGGTCCGGATCGGAACCGCGGTCCGCTAATCCATCACCTCTGCTTTACAGAATCAACTTTTGCTGCAAGTCCCTCATTGGTTGAGGATAAATTCAGTCTTTTGCTGGCATTAAACTGAGGTCCAGCACTGTGGAAAATGGATTAAGTATTGGATAGCGGTTCTAGACCAAATGGCCAGGAGGGGGCCAGGAGGGGGCCAGGAGGGGGGCCAGGAGGGGGCCAAGAGGGGGCAGGAGGGGGCCAGCGTGTTTTCATGGGGGAACCTAAAAGCATGAAATAAAAAAACAGGGCAAGGGATTCAGATATACTAATATAGCTGCATACAGTGAATTTTCTATTCAAATGGGTTAATTTAAAATTATATATCTTCTTAGGTCAATATATATTCATAATTTAGAATTTTAACATATTTTTTACTTAATTTAAGTTAGAATTACAGCTTTCTATAAAATCTCAATTAGAACTCAAGAAAAACTGATAAATTCAGCTGTAACAATAAGAGCAATTTGTTTTGAAAAAAACATTTAGCAGATGAAAACTGGGATCCTATATTAATCCCACTTTCACCTTATTGTTTTTGATAATTAGAGTTTCTTTTGAGTATTATGTCTTCAGTACAGGGGCCAGGACATGGTCTACAGGGGCACCTGTCCCCGTTGGACCCTGTCTAGAACCGCCCATGTGTGTACTGATTGTTAATAGTTTTGTTCACCTTAATTGGAATAAATTCTCTTGTTAAAGAAATATTTTGCAAATATAATTTCTGATTGATTGGAATTTAGCCTTTAAGTCACAACTTCTCAACAATATTTAGGTTTAAACTTGTTCATGACTATTCTTTGAGCTAATCTATTTTTTGTGGCTCTGGCAGAACGCTTAGGGAAAATGTCTTTTTCTAAACTCAAATATTTATCATCCCTCTATAGAATTGTTTTTTTTTTTTCCAGGATCGCATCATATTAAGCTCCCTCAGTATTCCTATCCAGTCTGAGCGGCTTCCTAACAATAGCTTATTAAAAACTAGGGATGCAGGATATTGGGATTTTGGCCGATATCCGATATTTTAAAACTCATGTAGCCGATAGCCGATATCGATACCGATGTTAAAGCTGGACAAAAATAAGTAGTCATTGAAAATAGCAGTTTTTTTATCCATTTCTGACACTTTGAAAAATAATATACTCAAATATATTTTCATATGCTGATATCAAATAGATTTTTAAAAACGCGGTATCGATCTATTTTACTTTCAAAATCTGGTGAAATTTCATCGTTCTGTTACAAACTCTCGTGATATTTTGCAAATTCTTGTGAGATTTTGTTAGTAAAATAGATCGATACTGCGTCAATATATCAACATATAAAATATGGCAACATTTGGTGAATTTTCGGGGGATTTCGTAGCATAACGATGACATATAGCAATATTTCATTAGTAAAAGAGATTGATATGGTGTTTTTAAATGGCAATATATCAGCATATGAAGATATTGGGATATTTTAATGGATCAATATTTTTTCCCTCGTCTTTAGAAGTTTTTAAGTCTGTAAAAAATACGTTTTTTGAGGAAGAAGAAGAAGTAGTATTTTTTTTTTTTTTTTTAGACTTAAGAAACTCAGAAGCTGATCAAATATCGGGTTAAATATCGGTGGGGGGGCCGATGTCCGATATTCAGTTTTAAGGCCGATACCGATAGGGGGCCGATTATATCGTGGATCCCTATTAAAAACTGTAAACTTATTTTGCCATTTTTTTCTTTTTGCACCTTATCTGTAGAGTGCAAGACTTACAATTGGCTGATTGTGAATCTACGCAGCTCCTTAATGTAGTTTAGGGGTGTAATTCCAAAAAAGTCCAGTGGACTGCTTTTAATTTTTTTGGAATGACTATAATAACCTGGATGACTGAGAATCTTCACCAGCATTTAGGGGGTGGGGGGGGGGGGGGTAACCATGCTTTCAAAGGTTTGTTGCCCCCCCCCCCCCCCCCCCCCCCCCAAAAAAAATCTCTGCTTAAATCTTTTCTTGGTGTGTGCTTTCCTTCAGCCTTCACTCCTTCTTTTTCCACTTTATAATTATGAACCACTTCCACTTAAAACATGTTAGAGGTTTGGGTTGTGATTTGCTAAAATGTGAAAAAGTTTCCTTTTACTGCAAATTGCTCATATTATTAATGCTACACTGCAAAATCTATCTACAAATAAGTAAAAAGAAACATTTATTAAGTGCATTTACCCTTAATTTGATTAGGTAAATAAGATGATTTGCTTAAAATAGGATAATTAGATAAAACGCACAATTCTTTTTTTATTATTTTAAATGTACATTGTTGAGTTCCATTGGCAAACTGTCTCACTCAGGGTATTAATTCCAGAAAAGATGCACTTATTTTAAGAAAAAAAAAAACTTATTTAGATCTACTTTTTTGCAGTGTAAAAAAAACACAACTCTAGGGAAATACGTTATATTAAAAAAAATACAAAAAGAAATCAGCAAAACTGTAACAAAGAAAGAGAAAGTTTTGATTTTTGTTTTTGCAATACTGGGGGTTTAAAATTCTCATGTTTTTTTTTTTCTACATAGATTAATAGCGCCCTCTCCTGTCAAATAAACATCGAGCAATGCGTCGTAATTACCTAGAAGTGCAACATTTCCAATTTATCAGATTTTTCTTCTGTTTGCATGGATCGTAAGTGATCTTAGTGATCTGGATTTAAATCTGCAGGATAAAAACCTTCGTTGACTCTTGAATCCCACAGTTGGTCATTGATCTGTGGCGTTAGAGGCGCTTCTGCGCGTTCGTGGCTCCAGGGTCACACCTTCTGCAGACAGCTGCGCAGGAGGAAGGTGATTCCCTGCAGGCAGTTGGAGCAACTCACCGACCACAGGGGGAAAATAGACTAATTAGAAGAAAACGTGGGCTGCTTTCAGACAGTTTCCACATCTTGCTAGGAGAGGAGACACGGCATAGATGCAGGCTGATCCACTGGGCATGCTCAATCTGCTTTGGAAACAGGAGCAGAAAGACTCGGTGTGGATAACAGGCAGTTTGGGCGTTTTTGTTTTTGTCTTTTGAGGAGGATCATCATGGTAGTGGTCATCTTCGCTTCTCATCAGTCTGTCTGGTAGAAGAAAGAGGATCCTTCAGCCTTTAATCTGATTTGGGATGTTCTCCATCCCGATCGCGTCTGAATGACAGCAGTGATCTGATCCGATCTGCTGAGACAAAGAGCAGCGGTGGCGGAGAGAGGGATCAGGCTGAGCTCAGCGCGAAGGAGGGCAGTCTGTAGGCAGTCTGCATCAGGCGCTGTCCGCTCAGCACCACCGCAGTCACCTTGCTGTGTCACGAACAACTGGTTCCAACCGTTTGAGATCTTCTATGAGAACATCTAGCAGCGATGTGACGTCCTTCCCTTTAAGGTGAT